TTTTTTTCGCAGGCATTTTATTTAACTGTTATTTCTGAAACACGGTAAACGTTGAACTGTTATGTATATTATATTACAGTGTGTATGATACACAAAATCGTATACGTTTGTGTGAGTCTCTTATTGCAGTATGTCCGACACCAGGTTCAATGCTTTTCATTGATTTTGTGTCTACCCGGAGCAGCAGAATCCCTGTTTCTAAAACTTAACAGTTTTCTAATGGATATTTACTTATACCAATACGACTTTTATATATAACCATATTCTCAAAAGTTTGAAGGTTATGCATTATCGTGGTGGATAGATTGATGAAATTTTATTATACATATATGCATAAATCGGAAACGACAATGTATTTTGAAAATTTAAAGTCGTCGTATTGAAACGAAACAAAAAACAAAAAAAAATATACAATAATATAAAAAAATAATAAAATGTGACTTTATACAGTGTGAGAGAGGATATTAAAATCGAGTGTCATTCATTATAATTTTGTTTCGCTGAGCCATGTGAAAACTCAGAAGTTATAATTTAATAATAATAATAACATAAATTAATGATAGATACTATTCTTGAATTTAAAATAAAAACAATATTCTGCGGAAATCTAGATTTACTGTACGTCGTTTGAATAATTTCTTAAAAAGATATATTTTAAAACTGAATCTCTTTAGGTTAAATTATTATATTACTTTGATTAACAGATGAGTATCACTTCATCTTTATCTTTCAAACTAAAATTACAAATTTATTTTTTTTCAATAATTCATATATTTATATATATATAATCTTATGTCAACATTTCTAAATCCTGAGTCAATTTATTTTTTTTTTAAATTTAAATTAAATAGACTTTTTATACTTAGAAAATGCACTTAACTTAATATGTTTGCCAACGACATAAATTAATATATTTCATTATTCAAATTTATTGAGGCTGCCTTTCGGAAAATCATGTTTATGTTATTCAAATCATGATTAAGTACTATGCATAATCATTATCTTCTTTTTTCAATTATTATACTTAGTTTACAATACGTCATAATATAAACTTAATAGGATATTGTATTTATTTCCAAAATAACCATTGATCTCATTTCAGCTTAATATTTTTTTACTACAACAATGATTACAATAGAATGCACAATATTATGATAATTCTTATTTTAACCATTATATATTATAATAAGTATATTATTAATTGTTAGTTATAATAATTAACGATATTATGATGTTTATTTGTTTACTTAAGTTATTAACTTGAAATATCGCTTGATAACTTTATAAATAAAACTTAAATGTAAAATTATTATAATATAAAGCTTAGTATAGATTAAATAAACCTTTGTAGGAGTTTTTTCTTCAAATTTACTGAATTCATCATATAGTTTTTAAAACATAAAAACGCATTATATGAACTTTACCCAACCGGATTAAACAGAACAAAACTAAAATATTAATAAAAAAATAAATACATTAAACTTATTCTCATACTTTACTTTTTAATAAAAAAATTTAATTTTTTTCTCTTGAAAATTATGTTTTGTAATATGTTTGCATTATATTAGATTATATAAAAACGTTACACTATTTTTCATTATTTATATCTACAGTTTATTGAAATCAATATACAAGTTACAACGACACAAAGTTGTGCGAAAGCGTATTAAATTTATGATACCTATTGACATTTTAGTTATAAGAATACGATATATTTGAAAAACAAATTTTTATTTTATTGATACTTGAGCGATACCACTTATACGTATTCGAGTCTAAATTAAAATTATTCTTGCTGGATAATTTGGCTTCAGTAAATTACCACTAAAAATATACTATAGAACTATTTTAACACATACGTTATAGGGTATAAAAAGAATCATTGAACGTGTATGTGTTATTTTATCGTTAACTGTTAAATCTATTTAGCGTTTAAATGATGAAAATAGTAAATATTTTTTTATTTTTTTTTTAAAGGCTGTAAATAGAATACAGTTAATAATACAATTGATATATTCTTATTTATTGATGTCTCAAAAAATTAAGTGTATATATTGTGTACATGGTTTATTATAAATAGACAAATAATCAATCATTCTTCATTTTTTGAGGTATTACAAGAAAAATAAAAATAAAAAATAAAAATTATTATGCAGAGGGTGTTTGGCTAAAACCAGCAAATTGTATACAGATCATTTTGAAGAATTTAAAAAACATTATTCAAAATCTACAAGACAATATTATAAAAGTTAAAATGAACGAAAATCCATCCAGAATAAATCCAATGTTAAACTTGATCTTTAAATTTGCGTAATACAGAAAAATTATAAGCAGTTAAAAGATTTGATACTTTTAAAAATATTCATCTAAAAATTAAACTAGTGCAGTGAATAGTGATTCAAATGAATATTTAAAAAAACAAGTGTTTTATGTCGAATTAATTACCTGATATAGTCATTAACATAGTCAAATTAAATTTTTTTATGATTAGATAATGTTACCCGGGTAGCTTAGTGATACAAATGGAAATTTAGTAGATATAATTTCTAAAATAGATGGTAAAAATTATAATAGGTATTTACAAGTTAACGGTAAAAAAAAATAATAATAATAATAAAAATAATAATAAAGAAAAACTAGACATTGATGTACCCTAATAAAAATATAATGTGATGTTATTCGTAAAAATATAAATAATTAGGTACGATAAATATTAAAAATATAAAAAAACCATTATAGTGAAGTTTTCTGAAAAACGAATGTTTACCTTTAAAAAGAACCACGTTGTTAACATTTTATTTTTGCAGTGTATTGTTTTCAAACAACTATGGTGACGAAAGTAAACATTATATTCGCTCAAAACAGTTTACTACACTAGCAATAATTATTAAGTACGATGACAACGACAACGAAAACGACAGCGACACAATAAGAATAATAATAATACGAGATTATTCTTTTGAGAGTCTAAGAGGAACAGACGCTGCGGAACGAGCGGGCAGAAGGTCGGCCGAGTGTTCGGATGGTTTCCGTCTCTGTATAACCGGCATGCCGTAATTCTCAATTTTTTTTTTTTTTTTTCGGCAATGGCGCTAATTTACGCGCCGACCCCCTCGGGATTGTTTGTTCTAAGTATCCCGGCCGGACTCCTTTGTTGCCGCATTCGCGCTCACGCACGGGTTTAGTAGATTATCATCCGTCTACGGTCGATCTATATACCATTATATCATATATTTATATAAACGCATGCGCATCACGCATACCTCGGTAAAGGCGTACAATATATAAATAGATACTTTTCTCTCGAAGGACCAGCGCGCAGCTGCAACCGTAATATTTGACCTCAGATTGATTGTTGGCCCAGGATCAGCGGAACCCCGAAATAATGATCATCAATTTAATTAACCGCTATTGAGATAATAATATTATATATTAAATATTTTTTGGTACGATTAAACGATCGTACCCAACAGACAACAGTTATACGTATACTGGACAAGGGTTCACTATGTGGGACAAATTAAAGTAGCTTTAGGCCGTTACAGTCCCGAGGGATCGTCCTACAGAAGGCAGCTTCTGCAGCATAATTTAAAACGCACCGTTGTATCACATATGCACGATGGCAATGAAAACCTGTGAATATGCAGGGCTTTCAACGATACGCATTTAACCAATTTTCATAACTCTGCAATTATTCAAAATTTTAGTTTCTCATATAGTTAATATTTAATTATTTTGAGTAAATGGCTAATTGTATTTATAATCCTTGTACAATAATAATGAGAATGTGTCATTAAATTATTGATTAAGTGTATTAAAAAAATACGAGTATATATTATAGCTAAAAAAAAAAAAAGAATTAATAAAACTTTAAATTATTAAACTTAGGAAAACCGTAGTTAATGAATTAACGAACCAAAGTTGCTAATTTAAGTACTAAAAATTTTAGAAAAAAAGCTTTAATAAAATCTATTCATAATTATAGTATTACCATTAAAATTTAATTTTGCTATTTGCACAATTGAGTTTTTAAATATTTTAAAATTGAGATAAAAAATAAATGTCCACTTGACAATAAAGAAATGCGTCTTTTTTCAAAATTCTATATCATTGATCCATAATCGTTAAAAAATTACGCTTATAACTTTATTATGACATAGAATACATTCAATATTTATTTTATTTTATATAGAATGATATTTTCAATTATGATGTTTTTGACAAAAATTAATTCAAAATACCGTATTACTAATAGTGAAATAAAATATTTTAATAGTTATACAAAATATATATCAACAATATACTTACAAATACAGGTGGATAGATCGTTTTCGCTCTGAATCGTTTTTGATACCTATTGAATGATTTATTATTAGATTCAAATATAACACGTAAATTATAATATCTTACTTAATGACAAAATAATCTCAAAATCTACTGTACAATACAGTGATTACCTACTTTTGCACATTTTTTTTTTTTAATTGTCATTAATCGCATGTACTGTTTCTTTTTTTCTCATACCCGCCTTCTGCAGGTTTAAATGTTTTTTGTTATAATTTTTAACCATTAACGATAGTATAAATTACTAAATTCTTACATAATAATTACTGCAGTAAGACGATATCAAAAACGTGATAAAATCGATGGAATTTTTCGCAGACAACTTACAGCCCAGTGGGTATGATATGAAATTGGACAGTTGTCACGTTACATTATTACACCGGCTTCTCGAGTCCCCGAGGAGATTAATATTCAAACCGTTACCATCTCAGGGGATCGCTATAATAGATGGTGTCAGGGCATAAAACATCGAAATATTAGACGTTTTATCTATACCGTGTAGACAGCCGCAAGAAACAAACATTAGTTATACCTAAATATAAATTATGATCTTCCAAACTATAAAATATAAGATATTATACATAAAAAACACGAATGGTATACTGCACAGATATGATTATTATTATTATCATCTAATTTGATGTCTTATCTTTAAGACGGTATCGTAATATTATGCAATAAATATATAATAATTAAAAAAAAAAAAAACAGCTTTCTCCAATGGCGCTTATCGGTGGTCAGTTTAGCGCGATATTGGGTCAAAAGAGACGGGATAAAAAATACATTGGAGTTGATGTCGATTCAGATATCCAACACACATTTTGCCATCAATTCAGTGTTTTTCTTGGTCATCGCTGTGCTTGGGTATTTGATGAAATGCATGATCGTCAGAAACGGATGTGCGAGTGCTTCGGCTGCTGTTATACGCATTTCTGGCATAACCATTAGCATTTTATACACCAAGTCTACGAACCATGTGATATCCTCACACCATTGCTTATCGCGTTGCCTAATCATGTCAGTATGCAAATTCTGAAAACAGAAAAAAGTGTATTAATAATGTATTTTTAGAAAATATTTTTTTTTCTGTTGCTATTGCTGAAGACGCTTATAGTAATATTGATATGAATTGATGACTGGAAATCAACTTTGTATGTTGACAGCAGAGATGAGGAATGTTTTACGTGTCTATTATAATATTGTACTTTTCTCGTTTTTTTTTTTTTTTTTTAAGCATATACAATGAGATGTGTATGTAAATCATTAGCAACATATTCTTGATAAATACTTCGAACGACAAAATGATGAAACGATATTTTATGGAAAAAAACAAAAACTATTTACATGAAATAATAATAACAATGATAAAATGGGATAAGGTATATTATATGCCATGACTGACAATGAATTATTGAACAGTCTTAACTTTAGTGATAAGTGACTTGTTTAGTGTTTTTTTTAAATAATTTTAAACAACCTAATCTTGCAAGTTACTTAAATAACGATTTTGTATTAAATATTATCTCGCACGATGATTTAAATACCCAAAAAAGTAAAGAAAATAAATATACTTGTATTTTAATATTTTCTGTTCAAAATTAATTTTGTAATTGTATTTTTATGAAAGTAAATAAATTTATTATATTAAATTATAACATGATACACATTTTATCACGTTCATTCAAAGTATTATACAATATTCACATATTGTAAGTTATAACCATGTTTTGAATTTTCTGTAAATATACGTAATTTATTATCATTTATAACACATTAACTCCGAATATATCATAACTTAATCTTTTAATTACTTTAAAAATTAATAAGCAGTTAATAAGTTTTTCATTCATTCCAATACAATATAGGTATCCCTTTATAATTTTTCTAGATAACAATATATTATTTTTATTTTTTTTATTTCCAATTATCCTACTTTTATAACACTATCACGTCTATTCAATCAGGCTTAGTATACATATTTGATTCAGGACACTTTTAAACATGTTTTATTTAGAAAATATAATGAAAAACTCGTACTATATAATATTGATTCATAGAAAAATATTGCCATTTGATAATTAGTTTTTTTGTAAACATTTCAATTTTATGCCATGACCATTCATACTTATTCAAACTACAGATCATCAGAGTACCCACAAAAATCGAATATTACGATCGTATTATTTAGTTGTATTTATTTATGTGAGACCATCAAGTTTCGCACATTTACCTGGCTGAATTCGCAAATAATAAATATTATTATACAGGATGTTAAAAAAAACCCATATTCCATCATTCACAATAAAAAAAATAATGTATCAAATACAATATGCTGTTCTATATATTCTTCCGTTATAGCTCAAATTCAAAATGGTTAAGTATGTTTTTTTTTACTCATATTTTTTCTTGCAAAAGGATTAGATTCTTACCAATAACAATGCACGTAGTTGCAAATCGTTTCCGATTCATAAAACTTTTACAATAATGACCGCAAACAATAAAATAATACTTGCATTTATTATCAAACAATTACTCTATATTGTGTACAATAAACCATATATGTTTTATATAATAGCGCATAAAAATGACTGTTTATTGTACATATTAGACGATTCACTTTACTGAAAAAAAAAATCAAATAATATCCGAAGGCAAAGATCAGTGACAATAAAATATACTATAATAACAGGAATGCGATGAAAAAAATTGTTGAAATGGAGAAAAAACATATCTTATATCTTATGAAATGAGAGTATTGAATACTCATATCTTTTAAAGCACGTATTAAAAATATTATTTGATTTTTAAAAAAACGAGTTTATATTACTACTCAAAGTCTATAATTATTAATATTATTTATTTTTAATCTACGTAGAGTTATCATATACTTCGGATACACAGCTACATCTTCAGAATAATAGTAATTAATTCTGCGCATTATACCTTTGTTTTGTAATAGGAATATGATTGACACGATTAAATGATAATATACTATGTGGTTAATACATGCAACACGTACGTCTTAATTTATTAGTCATGTATTCAAAAAAAAATTAAGAATCGTATACAACAATACTCGAAAGTTTAGTCGAATAACCGTAAACGTGTTTTAATCGGTCTACTTAAAAGCAAAATAGTTTTATTACAACAATGGGAATAATAATAACAAAAAAAAAAAATATATATATATATACAGTGTGTTCACGCTAAGAGGTACCACTAAATATTTCAGTTGGATGATCTCGTACTGAAATGGGGTTTTCGCTGAATGACAGATAGTACTTAAATACACATTTTTAGATAAATTTCAAATTTTTAACACTTTCGATACGCGCATGCGCGATACAACTTACTTTTTTTTAAATGGTAACACCATTTTTTTTTTTACATATTCGGATAGAGTATTTTTTTCTAAACAATTTATGTATAAAAAGTTTTTTTCTAATTACAATATTGGCATATGAAATTTAACGATGAAATTTAATATTTACGAGTAATTTGTTTTTGACGAAATTTAAAACTAAATTCAACTTATTTTTACTTGTTACTAGTTATTAGTATCCAATATTGTTAAATACCTGTTTGCACACAGATAAGATATAAATAAACACTTTTTTATCGTAGTAATCGTAAATAAGATAGCTAATTGAAGGTAATGAAAACTATAAAATTGTACACATTTTGAATTTGAAATCAATTTTTATTTATTTGCAATTACGTTCTACAGTTCTATCTGATAAATTGTTCGAAGTTTCCACTTTGATGTTCCAAACATGATTCCAAACGTTTTAATAATTCCGTTGATGTGGCAGCATTTATTTGTTCTCTTCTCAAATTACTACAAGCCAGTCGTATTTTGATTTTTAAATCTTGGAGATTAATAGGTGGATCTGCATATACAACATTTTTTAAATGCCCCCATAAAAAAAAATCCAATGGGGTCAAGTCTGGAGATCTTGCTGGCCATGGAAATTACTCCATGGGTACCAATCCATTGGTTAGGAAAAATTTCATTTAAATAATTTTTAACAATGATGGCGTTGTGTGCTGGTGCACCGTCTTGTTGAAAATACATATTTTCCCACGTTGCTAATGAAGCATTTTCTAGTAGTAATTGATTTCAAATTCAAAATGTGTACAATTTTATAGTTTTCATTACCTTCAATTAGCTGTCTTATTTACGATTACTACGATAAAAAAGTGTTTATTTATATCTTATCTGTGTGCAAACAGGTATTTAACAATATTGGATACTAATAACTAGTAACAAGTAAAAATAAGTTGAATTTAGTTTTAAATTTCGTCAAAAACAAATTACTCGTAAATATTAAATTTCATCGTTAAATTTCATATGCCAATATTGTAATTAGAAAAAAACTTTTTATACACAAATTGTTTAGAAAAAAATACTCTATCCGAATATGTAAAAAAAAAATGGTGTTACCATTTAAAAAAAAGTAAGTTGTATCGCGCATGCGCGTATCGAAAGTGTTAAAAATTTGAAATTTATCTAAAAATGTGTATTTAAGTACTATCTGTCATTCAGCGAAAACCCCATTTCAGTACGAGATCATCCAACTGAAATATTTAGTGGTACCTCTTAGCGTGAACACACTGTATATATATACGTATACAATATAAAGATGAAAGTAAAAAAATATAAAAATATAAAATAAAACTTAATTTAGTTTGAAATATACGACATAATAATATGTATAATTATATTAATGGTTAAGTTGATTTGATATTTTTTGAATAACGTTACATTATACGTTAAATATAGAGGGATTATAAATTTGTTTTATTTTATTTTATTTTACTTTTTTTTTTTTTTTTTGTGAAATTTAACATAATTATTACACATTAATATTTAAGACAAAATATATTAAATAAGTTATCAAAGACCTTATAAAGATTTTCGGTATCATAAATGTTCATTTATTTTCTTAATTTATTTAAATTTTAAATCAAAATATTCGTAAATGTATCAAAGACTAAATTTTAGTTTCCATCAATTAATACTTATTCAAATATAACAGTTTACCATGTTTATGGATTTTAATATCAAATGAATGGTGAATAGTCGAATAGATGACAACTAATTATGTATATACATAATAATAATATAATATATAGATATTATTTAGTATGAAATATACGTATGAATACTGCGTACACTTTTGATGACTATAACATGGGGTATTTTATGATAAATAGAAAATAGAAGTGATGGTGATAACAATACAGTGACATGTCCAGTTTATTTTGGCAATCGGCAATCGTTAAAATAAAAAAGAGAGTAATGGTCTGAGAACATATTATATTGAAAAAAATATAATAATCCCATGGAATAAGATAAAAAATGAGATTATAATTTTTTTTTTTTTTTTTTTTTTAACCCGATTATAAATAATAATATTAATAATTTTCACCTGAAACTGAATCCATCCGAGAGTTAGTTTTGTTTCCTGGATATCTGTTTGTAAATGTGATATAAAGGACTTGGGCACGGATAACGTGCGTATTATCATTTTGATTAACAGCTCCTCTTCGGACACGTCGAACAGCTTGACACCGGTAACAATTTCGGGCATGATACATCCCAACGCCCACATATCTAGACCGTGGTCCAAACTACCTTGGAAGCACACTTCGGGTGCGCGGTATGGGATCGCCTGGATTTTTTTGTGATACATGGTATGTACGTTTTTCATGTCGAACGCCCAGCCGAAATCGATGATCTTCACCAAAAGATTGTTCCCGATCTCGGAACAGAACATTATATTGTCGGGCTTGAGGTCGGCGTGCACGATCCCCAAACACTTCAAACCCGCCAAGCCTTGTTACGCGTACATGAAAAAAGAACAACCAACGAACCGAACATAATACGAATAAAGACAATACAAAATCTGATTGAGGTATTGTAAGTTTGTATAGATTTTAACGAAAAAGCTCGGACCCTCGACAACATTTCTCAGTTTTCGTTTATTGATGTTGAAATTGAATAAGGTTATTAAACAAAAATCAAAGTATACCGTGTTGCTTTTTTTTTTAATAGCAGCAAATATTAGTTAATATTTTAACATTTGCACTTTACATGCACTTAAGATTTTCGTAAGTATCATACATAAAATAAAAAGATAGATTTTACAAAGAATTATAATTATTTAACTAAAAACATATTTTTGAACTTATTTTCGGGAACTTACATTATTACACATTTCAAATCAATAGTGACTAAATTGTTTAGACGTATATAATATAAGTGAAAGTTATAATAATTAATGAATATTTTAAGATTTCAGAATAATTGAGAATTTATTGAATAACAACGAAATTAAAGTAGTGTTTATGCTTGTGGAGGGGTTATAGGTCTGATTAAAATACTTTAAAGAAGACATTAAACAGACATTTTTTTTTTTTTTTACATCAGTCGATAATGTCGAATCGATATCTGTGTTAGCAGTTACTAACTGGTTTGTTATATTTTATTCGTAAAATGTATTATCATACGAGCAATCGCCGATTTTGTGTAAAGTCGGCATTTACCGGGCGAGATTGATCTTATCCAATTTTAGACGTTATCCGACCAAAAAAATATATAAGGATCTGAACATTACCCGGGTTAGCTTTTTTTTTGTGACATTATCCCCGAATCAAGTACATAATGATGTACAATGTAGGAACACGTAAAAGTATCTGCTGGTATATAATAACAGTGTAAAGTCTGACATTTTACAACGGATGGGCGTGCGATTAATATAATATATAGGTTAGGTATACCAGATGCCTAAACATATGGTTTAGATAGAGTCGAGATTTATTTTATACTGACAATGTTTAAAGTTCTTCGGAACAGAACAAAATCGATATGCTTGGATTTTATGGTCTTTTTCGGGTTACATTACAATATAAACATAACAACTGCCTACCGTTATATTAATACTATCAAATTAGTTATTAAACCTTATCTTGGAAAATAACGCAGGGATGGTAATTAATAAAAATATTCATGGTCAAAATTCTTAGGTAAGAATAATTTAAAATAAATTCATTACGTATTGTAAAAATAGATTAGAGAAGAACAATATTTTATTGTATTTTACTTTACCTGTAACTATAGGTGAGAACTGTATATTATCAATAAATTATGTAAAAATATAAATTTATTAAATACTATTGAACAAAATATAAAATCAAGATCTACCAATATAATGAATATACCTATTTGCTATTAAATTAGTTATAATCTTCACAGAGTTTATAATACATTTCATATTATTACAGAATATATATTTTAGGCATCATTAAATCAACCTGTTACAGTTATTTTAGTCACATTTTTTTAAAACTAATTAATTAGTTAATTTTCTAATTAGCCAACTAAATTAATAAGCTCATTTTTCTAGATGATTTTAAAAATTAAATATGTTTCCTCTAATCCATCAAGTGTCTTATCAGGTTGTAACAAAATAACGAGTAACCTATGTCAATTAAAATTAATTCATAACCAATAAATTTTAGTCAATTATTTACATATTTCATAATTAAAACTATGTTTTTATATAATAGGTCACCTATATTTATTACTATAATTATTAAATTGTTATATTTCATTATTTTTACAAGGCTATGTTTATTAAGGTGTCATCTCTTAAACGAGAATAATATATCGTAGATATAAAAACATAATATATTTGATCAATATTGCTAAAATTGATTAAAAATAAAAACTATTCGATGTTGAACGTTCAATATTATGTCTCACAAAATATGATAAGCAATACTAATACACCATTTATCTCTCATACGAATACCTATAGTTAGTACTTACGTATTATTAGTATACTGAAACAAATTAAATTTACTTGAAAAATACTGTTAATTTGAAGTTAATCATATGGCTGTGGTTTTTATCGAATTGTGAATAATTATCATTAAAACATTAATGTATTTTTTGTTTCACTCGATGAATATTTTAACCCACCTAATGAAATGATGAAACGCTGGGCCCCACGTCTAGTACAACGTATACCTTATGTGTGTCACCGCAGATTTAAACTCGTGTTTAGCTCGTGCTTTACACATTATAACTGTTTTATACGTACCTTGTGCGATCTGTCTGACGATTGGTCGACATATGGATATTGGCAGCGGACCGATGTTGTGCAATACGGCCTGCAGGGTGGTACTCAGTCTCTCCATAACAAAACATATCTTTCCTGATTGGAGTTGAACCGCGTCTGTAACTTGAACGTACCGGGCCCGCGTTCGACTGAACTTAAGCCTGTTCAACAAGTCCAACTCCTTGAGGTATAGTTTTCGGTTGAACTTTTTACTGGAACACGAGTTGTTCAGTGCTTTGATCACCACCTCTGTGCCCGTGCCCACCACAGACGCGTTGTAGACGCGCGAAAAACGACCGGTGCCGATCATTTTGTGCACCGTATACGTCGTGTACTGGGATCGAATGATCGTGTTCTGCTGCAAAACATCCTTTTTCGATATTTCACTCATTGCCATCTGTAATGATACGACACAGTTGTTGGATAATGTAGGGATTTATAAACGTGCTTCAAACATTGGCAGCGAATTACTCCACAACAACCATGTAGTGTTAGACTTCCAGTTTATAAAAGTAAAAATAATTTATACAGACCACTATAATATCATGGACAAATCAAAAAATTACACAAATCTTTGTTCTTAAATTTCTAATACCAAAAGCCAAAAATCGTCCAATGTTTCTAGGACTATAATATTTAAAGTTGCATAAATTGTGCTGTTTATTTTTAAATATTTTTTTCATGATGGTAATTAATTCGATAAATCACATTTATACATAGCACTGAATAGATACATCTATATTAATGTATAGTATTGATGACTTTCGAATGGTCCCCCTTCAAATATAGTTAGATGACCTTTTTCCACTTGAATAACCTCCGGGTATTTTTGGCGTTAATTCGAGTTCAACTAAATGACCTTTTTTAATTGTCTCCCATAGCATATCTAGATTATTAATTAATTTTTCGATAGTACATGTACTATACTATTGATTATTACAAGTTAATGTATCGAATAAAATATTATTTTCATCACCGATCATCAGCTAAAAATTATTTTATCATCGTATTCGATAACACCAGTCCAACTATTTAGTCAGTTTTGTTTACGAAACCGTTTCCGTAATTATAACACGTTAATTTAACCTAACGGCTGCAATTATATATAGTGCATAAAAGTACATTAACATTATGTGAGTCACTCCACCCTAAATTTTATTCTAATTTTTCAGTACCTCAATCTCATATTCATAATTTTTTTTAATCAATATTATTGGATACAGCAATATTAAATTAGATCCTCTGAAACGGAAACCAAAAAAAAAAATAGGTAAATCACAAACAATGTAATTAACTGCACTTATAAGTTAATTGATAAATTAAACAATAATATAATTTTAAGTTTTCAATATTTAAAAGTATTGGCAAATAAATTTAAAACTCGCAAATATTAAGAAACAATATTTTATTAGTAAGTAGAACATTATGATATTTTATCTTAAGACAGATTGATTAATTCAATTTTATATGGTTATGAATTGTATGACATTGTATATCATGTTTATGTATTAAATATTGTGTATGCCATTATTCTTATAATTAAGAAAAAAGAAAAAAGAATTAAAATTTTTGATTTGAACTATAAATTGATTAATTATATATATTGGAGACTATTTTAAAACAAAATGATTAATACTTAAAATATTTAAAATGCAAATTAATGATATTTCTGAAATTAGAAGACAATTTATTCGAATAACCAACCTTTAATAAAAAAAAAAAAATCACATGAGGAAATTTGTGTGCACCCAAAATATATAGAGCACATTTTTACTAAAAATAAATAATCTTCGACAAAACTAAAAAAAAGAACAATTTATCATTTATCTAGAGCATTTTTCGCTCCACTCAGAAAATATAATATAAAAACTGAACGTGTCTTTTTAGCATATAAAAATATGTGCACATAGCTCAATCATCACATCCAATTTATTAATAACATTTAATAAATACATAACACTCTCGTTAATCTAGAATATTTTACGTGTAGTGCCAATTAATGCTGTCTATCAACGATTAATAAGATTATTTTTTAGTTTTCATTATGACAATAGCATGAATATAATTTATTTTTATTTTTTTTGTTTTACAATCGATATAAATTAATTTAATGTCATTAGTGAATTGATAATTTTACACTCGATTGTACAATGTTTATTATTGGCGATTAGTAAATCCTGTACTCTATCTTAGCACATTAAAAAAAAAACAAAAAAACTTTAGACTAACTTTTTAAATATATCTGTTTAATGTATATTGAATGACCAGAGGCATTTTAAAACATAATGAATTATTATAATGAGTAATGAAGTAATTCAATGTCAGAAATATTCATTGGAATTTCCACATTAATTTATCAATGATACTTGTATTTTAGATAATTTCCTATTTAATGTTAATATAGTATGTTGATAACTTTTATTAACACTGTATTAGGAATATAAATATAATTCATTATCTAAGAAATGCATTCTTTAAATATATTAAATATCGATATTTTTTAATTTAATTCATTTAACCATTTCTTAAACATAATTTGTCTCTTACTTTACATTAAGGTCCTGCAAGTTTCTATTTATTATTTATTTAATTTAATAAATTTGTATTTTCTACCATTACACTATTTTTTGTTTTATTTCTCTATTTCCATATTATTAATGATCATCATAATAATTACTGCTTTTTAAATTGGACTCAACCCGTTGAAATAAAATTAATTAACTAATTATTTAAATGCGCGTTAGTGCGTGGTTAGATTTTTTTAAACCAAACAGAAATTATTTTTTGTTTTTTTTATTTCATTTCTATTTTAATACATCTGACATATGGCCTTATAAAATAATAACAGTTATAACGTTATAGAAATGAGTATAGAAATAACAATAGGAATAATACAAAAAAAAATAGTAATAATAATGAAAACTAATAAAAATACTTACGGTACGATGTATGATATTACAGGAATTACAATCTCGTTTTCAACTATTATTTTACAATTTCAAGTTCCACGTTTGAAACTTGAAGCGTTATATAATAATTTATAATTTTATATCGTATTTTTGTGATCTGAATACAAATTAATAACAGATAATACGTACGAGTCTTTTAAATAGGTATTAATAGTAATAATTATATTCGTAAAATAATAGCCTATTGTCCGCCGCGGTTATGTGACAATACCGAAAATTATTTAAAAAAACATTGTCTAAGAGCACGTCTATAAAATGAAGATCACCAACAACAGTAACCGAGTGAATAAATAATCATATTGTAGTTACATTTATTATACTATTGAAACGCTTTATAGACATAATAATAATATTAAAAACAACCACGGATGTGAATACAAGACGTACTACACTCAAAGAATATGTAAATATTATGTAATACATTATTACATAAATATATATGTGTATATCAACCTTTTCGAGGCACAATTTAAACTGTGTTGATTAAATTCTGCACATAAGATATTTTTTTTAAATTTGAACAATTTTGAGAGAGGTATAAAATTAGTTTATTTTAGATTTTTAATGTCGAACCCAATATTATAATGTATTATGTTACCCAGATTAGCCATTTTTTTCCCCCGTTGTATCAAGTTTGCCTTAAATAAAAGCGGGAAAACATAAAACTTGCATTGATTATTTTGATTATCGATGACATGCTTTTTTTCAACTTTTAATTAAATAAAAAAAATTATGTTCATTTTTGGATCATGTCCTATAACGAGCAGTTAATGATATTATGATTTATGGTACACCAATAAGCATTGCCATCAACAAATTATTTTATCATATAATAAAATTAATTAAAATGTTAGTACCATCCGTTTAGATAAAATAATAAATAGCAGTATATGTGAATATTGTAGAAGACGTATGATCAATAAAGTGCTAATTTGAAAATTTATGATAATTTTTTGATGAAGTATTATAATAATTTTCACTAATGTTATTCCATAAATTATGGCACTTAGTAGTTAATTATATATAATATAATTATACAGTTAATGCTTAAAAAATATAACAAATGAAATATTTTAATGTTCCTAATTATTTTATTACAGTATAATTCATTACAATGTGTTCGTTAAACAACATTATAAAACCAATTTTTATATTTTGTTGCATTATGTATAATATATACTTATACTTATATAATATAACTATATAGATACTTTGGAAATAATATTATATACTTCAAGGAAGGTCAAAACCTCCACAATGTTACGAACTTAATCGTAATAACGCTCTAAACATTATATTTCGTTATAATATTTATATACATCATTCCTTCAATTAAAGAATCACTAGTGAGTAAATTCTTAATCATGTAAATCACAATGTTTTATTCTTTTTTCCCATATACTTATTGTACTTTAATATATATTTTATTTTATTATAAAAAATAAAAAAAAATTTAAAAAATACATCATAGTTGCAGCAGCCGTATAAGCGTTTAAAGTTGCATATTATTTTATCAATAAAACTGCACATAACTATAGCATAGTTACATATGGCTTACCATAAATGTGACATTAATATGCGCGACTTATAAAGGTTACACAGTTCTGTATGTAAAACAATAATCTTAATATTCGTATAGACCGAAGACAGTCGATGTATGTAGCGATAATATTTATTCTAATTCATTATCGTTAAACTGTTGTTTAAAGTAATATAAAATAATTTATATTATACATAGGCTTTTTGCGAATACGTGCAGTATTTTATGAACACAAAGGATGAAAATGCATTAACAACCAACGGATTTCTAACAACTATCTTAATATCATACAAGTTTTCCTTCACAACAAAATCACAATAATTAATATGATATATCAAAAATAATAATGATACACATTATAATTCTACAAGTATCAAATGTTTTCAATGTCACTAATTTAATTTTAAAAAATGTGTCGAATTCATTGAGATACAGTTGAAGTATAGTTAAAACAAAAATATAAAATAAAATAATCGCTTTTTGGTATATTCGTTGTATTGTATAATATTCAATATTCATATATCATTTTCACGTATCGATGATAAAAATATCGTAAAATTACTCGAAAAGCATTAAATATGAGTGTACGTGTGTGTGTGTGTGTGAGTAATGACCTGAAAGTGTATTGTAATGGATACGGCTGTTGTTATGCTTGAAGTTACTTTACAAATTAACATTTTATGAGTGTTTCGCATAAATATGTCCAAACTTAATTGATAACAATGAGTTTATTGTGTATGTGTGTTTTTTTTTTTTTTTTTTGATACTATAAAAACTTCAACTCGGATAAAAACTGGTCAGTTTTATAATATATTCGTTGTGATGAATTTTACCTACTAAAAAAATTAATTTAAATATAAATATATATATATATAAACCGTGTTATTT